GCCTGACACATCATAATCTCCATCACTCTGTTGGGAGATTAAGAGAGTCATTTTATACCATTTTGCCTTCAAGTGAGAAGAAAATTGATGAGTGTAATGTGGCTGTAGAGACACAGAAACGATTTTGGTGGTCTTGCAAGTATTTCACAGGGAGCTGATTAGGACTGAGATATCTTTTCTGGCCAGACAGGGTGTAGTGTGTACAATGTGACTGGCAAAAGTGAACAAAGGAGCTCACCGGGTTCAACACTGTGACCACAAAAGCTAGTATTCTCAGTTGATATGATACCAGCAGTACTGCTTCACACATAGCCAGCCTGTTCACATAACAAGTTTAACATGTCCCCAGTGTTATTATTTTTTGTGGGTGCACCATACATAGTCCTGGTCATAGCTTTTAATTTACAAGCAACTAGAAACTTCTTGGTGTTTGTGAGCACCCTTGTGGAGTCACCATAGCTTGGGAGCTTATGCATGGATTTTGATGAAGCATGTTTTCCATTGATAACTGCAGTGCTGCTACATAATATACTGACCAAAATGATCTTGGCTTTGACTTACTAGCGTCTTCCATTTGGTATAACCAGACCACTCTGTGTAAAACTAATCTCAGAAGATGCTTCACAGAAGACACTGCACATGTGAGTGCAAACTATGCCTTTGCTCCCACATACTAATAGCTTGAGATGTTCTGTATTTTTGCTGTCTTGCTGACAATGTCCTAATCCTGTGAGGGATAGGCTGATCTTTATTTTCGAGGCCTGCTTCTATACGTTTGCCTGTAGCATGTGCCCTCAAGGTATAGTGTTTAACAATTCCATTTCTGTTACAAAGGGAATCTGTAGGCATCTTCTGGGGACCAAACATTTACAAGAAAGCTTTGTGAACTGTCAGACATGAACGCAGGCTTCAGGTGGACTTGCCATCAGCTTGAAGTACTCCTAAGGCATGAGCTCTTTGTTCATTCAATTCATTCAAAGAGTTTTCTGGTGCTGTTTTTACATGAATAAGTCACATGGACAAGATCTTAATCTTAGCCTTAGGTTGACACCATGAGATAGTATCAGAATCACACAAGTTTCTGACTCAAATAAATGAGGCCTTGAATTACTGCCTTAGGACCATATGAAGGGGAGCATTTCCAAAGGACATACACAGTCAACAAAAGAAACAAAACTCTTTAACGTCTTCCCCCTTGTTTTATTACAAGGCGTAGCATTTTTCAGCATTCATGTTCATTTTTACTATGAAATGCTGAAACTATAAGAAAAATCCAACAGCTCTATCTACTCATCAGGGTTAATGCAATGCTCCACTGTTTCTTTCCTTTCCATCTTACTGATCACTTCCCTAAGTTCAAGAGATCAGTGCTGGCAGCACACAGAGGTGAAACTTGAAAAGGAAGGGCAATGACCTCTGAATTCCTGGAAAAACAAAAGCATTCAGGGGGCAATTTTTGCCATGCACTTCCATCGCTATTGCCTTCATTATTGTGATGTCTATGTCCTAAAGCTATCATCACCACAAGACCTAGATGCATGAAGAGGGAGCTGCTCATGCATGCTCTCTTATCTACACTGCTAAGTGTAGGTTTTGCTAACAAATGTTAACAGATTTTATTAGCACCAAAATTCATGCAAAAGAAATACTGGATCCACAAAACGAGAGCAAGCAAAAAGATATGTACAGTACTGCAGAATAAATAATGGCTATAGGCTGACACACAATAATATTCTAAATATTAAATTGGAGTTAATTTCTTTGTGTGCTTCAAAAATTTAACTAACTACATATATAGTGACAGCCAGCGGTGAAATAAAGATGGAGGTTTTGATTTTATTTAGCCTAGTTTGTAAGTTGTGCTTGTGTACTTTTCTTTAGTTAAAATCAAAACACATACAGTACTGTAGCTTTTGGCTGAGGTTATAGACATTGTGTATATGTAACTTTTGTTCCCTTGTGTTGATATATGAATGCAATTTATAATTGATATCCCTTACCCATAATTTTTTAAAATTTGTCGCGAAAATCTACAAAGTTACATTTGACATTTTTAGTATATTGTGCCTCGCTTTAACATTGTAGAGATCCAAAAGGTTATTGCAAGAAATATATAACATCAGAAAAAGGGAATTTAATCAAGGTAAAGCTAGTGGGATTTGTAATGGCTCTGTATATTAAAGTTGCAAAAGAAAATATTCTGTTACACAACCTAATGGGTCTAAACAGACTCCAAACAGTCTAAACAGTTGAATTACCATCTTCTAACCCTTCTAGAAAGCTTATAAGATCTCAAAAGTTAAGCAAGGCTTGACCTAGTCAGTTTTGATGTGGGAGATCTTTAAGGAAAACTAGGTTACTTTTGTAAGGCCATGTCCCAATTCTCGCACCATGTCCTAAATTCGGCAATGTGAAGTCGAGCAAGTGTGGATTTAAAGTGCGTCAGTATTCAAGAGCGCACCATTTGTAAAAGGGTAATGGGACACTCTTGTGTGACGTCACTCGTTTGTTAAAAGGCTCACAGTCAAAATGCTATCTGTTGTTTTCCAGTGGCTAAGAGCATGTCAGCTGATACGTTTCTTAAAAAGAATGTTTCTTTCTCCACTCGCAGTTTGGTGAAATTGAATGTCATCTCGTCTATACCTGCACAAAAGTAGTGACAATTTGTGTTCATTCATAATAATCATAATTCCTTACACTTATATAGTGCATTTCTGGACACTCCACTTAAAGCACTTTACAGGTATTGGAGACTCCCCACAACCACTACCGATATGCAGCCTCCACCTGCGCCAGAACGCTCAGCACACATCAGCTATCAGTGGGGAGGAGAACATATGATGAAGCCAGTTCATAGATGGGGGTTATTAGTATTGCCATGATTGGTAAAGGCCAATGGGAAATTTGGCCAGGATGCCATGGTAACACCCCTACTCTTTTCAAGAAACACCCTGGGATTTTTTATGATCACAGAGAGTAAGGACCTTGTTTTTACATCTCACTCGACGGATGACGCCTTTTTACAGTACAGTGTCCCCGTCACTATAGTGGGGCATTTGGACCCACACAGACAGCAGGGTGAGCGCCCCCTGCTGGCCCCACTAACACCTCTTCCAGCAGCAACCTTAGTTTATCCCAGGAGGTCTCCCATCCGGATACTGACCAGGCTCACTGCTGAGCTTCAGTGGGTTGCCAGTTGTGAGTTGCAGGATGGCATGGCTTCTGGCATACAGCATACATACAGCTGGCATACAGCACATTTGAAGGGGACAAGGCCACAGATGTGCATACATAAGTGGTGATGGTGGACCCGTAGGAGGGCACTACTTGCCTGAACCAGAAATATCAAACCAATACTGCAGTACGATGACAAGGGACGCTATGCAGAAGGAGGTGCCATCCTTTTGGATGTGACGTTAAACAGAGATACTGGCATGATTCGTCATTAAACAACTGAAAAAACCATTCATAAGACTAAAGGGTTTTTACCCCCAGTCTACTGGTTGTAGTACATTTTTAGTTTGTGAAACCTGCCCCCCCTAGAATTCCTTCTTAATTCAACTGGTGAAGCAATTTCTCACTTTTTCTACTTTTTCTGCTGTGTAGTGGAGCTGCTGGTGCACAAAGACAGCTGCATTTCAGCCAGGTGGCTCCCCATATGGTAAGAACTCCAGGATCCTTTGGAATGAAAAGTGCTATATTACTGTAAATCTAAAATGTCAGGAAACTATTAATATTCATAATAACACCTACTATTATTAAACAAAAGTTCCCTAACAGTGTTAATTGCTCTGATCTCTGGTTCAACAGCTCTGGGGTTATAACAAGTCTCCTTATGTTGCTGTCATCTAATTAATTTGAACCACTTGACAGCACTTAGTGTAATCGGATTTAAAGGCTAGCAAGTCTCTATAAATGTCTCTTTTATGCCTTAAACATATCAAATCCAAAATGCTATAAGAAGTTAAAAAGGCTGTTGTTTAGAAAAATACTGTTCATAACTACGTTTCACCAAAAAATGTTGTATTTTTCTTCATTTTACTTTCCTGATGCACGCATACTGACACTGCTCCTTACTTATGGTTTTATTGAACTGTTTATTGGACTTTTCTAAAATGTTCAAAACACAGGGTAAGCAATAATGCAGAAAGACCCAAGGGCAATCATTTTCCAAATAAGCACTGCGCATTGACATTTCACTGCTTCTGGATTTGAGAAAAGGAAATTGAGTTTTGTAAGGCATGTGAAGGCTTGGTATGCACAGAATTGTGGATCTGCTAGCCAAAATACTGATAGTCAAATATATCTGTAAATGCATCATTGATTATTCTCTAAGGGCCTGGCTTTGGGAAAGCATGTTCCATTCTTAGATCTTTTAATCACAGACATAAAAGTCACTTGGCCTAAGTTTCGTAGTTTGGTTTGGTTAGTAGTTAATTGATCCAGGGGTCTCATCCAGCTGTTTCTTGAAAGAAACCAAAATATCAGCTTTGACAACATGGTTAGGTAGCTTGTTCTATATTGCCATAACCCTTTGGTATAAAAGGTGCCTCCTGTTCTTGGTTTAAAATGTACTTCCATGTAGTTTCTACTTGTGCCCACTGGTGTTTGTTTCACTGTTGTACTGGGTTGGTCAATGCTTCAGGGATTTTGAATATCTGCATCAAAGGCACCATGTAACTAACCTTCTCTGTTCAAGACTACAAAGGTGTAGCTTCTTCAGCCTGTCACTGCGGGATATCTCCTTAATCGTCAGAAAGTACAGTATCTGCTTGTACTGTATCTGATTCCAGAAAGCCAATATCTTTTCCATAATGTGGTGACCAGAATTGTACACAATATTCTAAATGAGGCCTTAGTAGCGTGTGATACAATTTTGTTTGACTGTTTAATTGCCTCTCCACATTGTCTAAAAGGCAGAAGTGATGTGTCAGCAAAAACTGCAATGTGACTGGTTCCAAATTCGCTGCCGGCAATAAGAATGAACGGGACGCACTCACCGCGGCTCCACTCTTCATGGCATTGCTGATGACCACAATGACCCGGCCTTTGAAGCTCTGAAGGGTTGAGTTAGCTGCACACTGGACCAGCTCTCCATCTGGCCCAAAGGCAGTGCTGTAGGGAATATTTATACTGCCTGATATGTGGCCCCGATGAAAACTGTGAATGTTGTCAAGGTCAAAACCAACTCAAATGGCACAGGGCACAGGATCCAGGTAATAATAATAATAATAACAACAACAACAACAACAACAACAACAATAATAATAATAATAATAATAATAATAATAATAATAATAATAATAATAAACTTT